TTTCTGAATTACTATCGTGTTTACACGCGATCCTTTAACGGCCTATGAACCCACGCCTTTTCTTCCGCTTGCGTAAAAGCGATCGATCTGTCGACGCCACAGTCGTTACAGTTTACAGTTTACGCTTTACGTTAACTCTGCGTGATCGAGTTACGGACATTGCCTATGACTTATCGTCAATAACGTAACGTCCCGAGCAATTGTCCGGTTGGTGATCATAGATCGTTAACCTTGTGGTATATTTTCTTAGGAAAGATTAGAGTACCCTCCCTTCAGCCATCCGTCAGGTATCACTCCTGGCTACCTGAAGACCCTCGTGAACGTGTTCGGTCACGTGGAGAACGTGTGCCTGAGAAGGATACTGTTAAGCTGGCAGGGCATCTCTTTACCCGAAACCACTCTTTTGCGAATGTTGCTGGTAGGCAAATTTCTGCCCGAGAAAGAGTGCGACTTTTACAAATTCCTGGCGATCGCTTGCGGATTCTTGGGCAAGGTAAGCCGTCTGGCCTGAAAATAGCACCTCCCTGCCAACATTCTCGTATGAAATACCTAAAATAGAGCGTGCCTATAAGCCCACCTCCTCCTCTAGCGTGTGATCTTTATTGCGTCCTAAGAATAGTATTTTTAGACCAGACTCGTTCATCGATTTAATAATCTCTTGGTACCAACGTACGTCTCGTGATTGATGAAGCAGCAGCGGTTTTTATCGCGTGGGTGTATCGGTATAAGCTGGCATAAACACAGGCACTTTTTTAGCTCGGTCGGCGAGATCATAGTTTTTACCGCAAGGTCGTTTATTAGTCTAAAATAATTATATCTCTTGGATCCTCTCCGCAAGAAAATTCTGTGGTGGAAAATGCGTAACGGATAGAGATAGTTCGATCTTTCTTTCGAATTATACGAAACGTTGTCTTATTAATTTATCGGAACGATTTACAGCGTGCTTATGCTCCAGACAAAACGTTCGACTCGTTAATGAAATTTTTCTGCGCCGTGAAAGAGAACGTTTCTCCGGGCGTTTTGTATCAACGGTCTTTCGAAAATACATAAAATTGCTGCGGACGAGGCACGTTCCTCCGCCATGTATTTAACTCACCGGACCTTAATGCGAATCGATGAATCATCGTTACCGGCTGAATTAAATTAATCACTGGCCATTGTTGCCGGCTACCAATTCGCGCCGATTCACCTACATCCTTTGTGACTTACCCCCGCAGAATCTATTCGAAACGATGATATACGTGTGCGAATTGCTGACGGAGGAGCCAGAAGGCGGCTCGGCGATGATACCCGTGCGAACCTTCGTCCGCCTCTACGAGTATCTAGCGATGCTCGATTGCAGCGGCGAATGCCCCTATGTGATAATGGAAGATGACACGAAGGAGATTTCACCTCCCAGTGAACCGTCCACCCTTACCAGCACCTTCGACTCTAGACTGTATCTTGTGCCATCCGTAGTGGAAGAGGTAAAAAGCGAATTTACGAACGCGTTTACATCGCGGATGATATTCATCCAGCGTGAAAGAACGGAGAATTTATGCCGCAGATCGTAACGCTTATAACCTGCATTAAACATTTTTATAGCGCAAAGATCTTAGATAGTACGTTGATCTAAATTGTTTCCATTAGCAACAATCGTCGTAAATAGCCGACGTTCTTTTCGCTTACGCGGCGATGATCATCGATGACGGAACTTTCTTTCTTCGGGTTGCCAACGAGGTAAAATCAATTCGTCGATGCAAAATTCGTTTTTCGATCGATTACTCGAACACTGGTTTCGTTTGAAATTATGGCTGTTTACTCGTTACTGGACAAATTTAGACGTATCACTGTCGCTTCGCTATGAATCATCGTGCATTTGATTCATCAGAAGTGGAGATTCGCCCTACTTTATTCATTAGCCACTTTGGACATTCGCTTTGACTGGGATACAGACGAAAACAGTTCTCTATTCCTTGCGCTGTTCTTTAATCAGTCACTCGAAAACTGGGTTCGTCAGTAGCAATGGCTGTTTACTCGTTACCGGACGAGATTAAACTTATCACTGTGTCTCTCCACTACGTATGAATCATTCATTCACTTGGACATTTTGTACGCTGGTCGCTTTACACGTTCGCTTTTGCATGAAATACGAGTATGGACGAAGACAATCTCTACGCCTTTTATCGTGGATGAAACATTCGCGCGTGAAACGTTGTAAAGCGTAAGTTCACCTTAATCCCATTTTTCATCGAATCGGAAGTTCGATTCGCTGGTCGATACGCGAGTGCATCGTTTAATAGAGAGGAAAAATGTAGCTACGTGTGCGTTGTGTGGCGCGATGTACAATTCGGTCGGAGATTATCTACTGTGGTTCCCTGTAGCTTATTCGGCGAGTGGCGAATCATTTTTCAGGGTATTCGGCATCGGTCGCGATTAATGGAACGGAAAAGGTTGCGAGAGCAAACGTGGCACTCGACGAGCTCGTCGAGTGCTTGCCCGGCAATCACCAAATATAATTTCGTTAATAACGCACCGATGCAAATGGAATCGCCGCGCAATCGAAACAGGACCAGAGAAATAATTACTCGATGCGTGGAACCGGGTGTTTCAGCGCCCTCGGTAAACGGCGAATCGCGGATGCGTAGCGCAAATTTACAGAACGTACTGATTGTAGCATATTTTAGCGGAAACGCTGCTTTTCCCTGCTGTGAGTCGAGTTAATTCAATGAAAATCGATCGGATCCGAAGGCAGAAGGTACCGATACTCGGCCAATTAACGTTTTTGCCAGTCATTTTTCTCCGTTCTCTCTCGTTCTCCGACAAACATGCCACTTTTAATCGAAATCCCGTCAGGAAGAAGAATCCGGCAAGCTGGATGTTTGTCCGTTTACTCCCAGCGAAAGTCGATCTTCCGGGATCTTGCAAGTTTTGAAGGATTACAGCGGTGACGCACGACCTTCCGAAGTTGACGAAGCGCAGCAGCAAGTCGCCGTTGCGGCGCTAAAAGACCAGATCGACGTCGGATCGATGGTATCGGAGAAATTATCGGAGAAAGAGGTTCGTAAATAAGCGGAACGTATCGGATCGTATAAAAAATACGAGCTGCGGATAAAAGCGCTACTTGGTTTAATTATGTCGCGGTAACGAATGTCGAATCGCGTGGATTGGATAGCTGATTTTCTACCTCGGAGGAGCGTTGAAAAACCGTGTCCCTTTAATTTCGCTTCGGGAATGAGTTTACTGTTTGCCCGTCGTTCGTTAAACGTTACGATTTTTCTCTGCCAGCAGACCGAATGGTAATCTTGCAATCGTTTGCCGACCGTTCGGTGTTTGTTTGACGACTGAAAAAAACAATTAATCGTTGATGCGCGGCTGATTTCTCTGGAATTTTTAATACAACGTATCGAACGTTTCGTTTAGCGAGAAACGAAGAGCGAGAGTCACGTTAACGTTGGTCGCGATTCGTCGCAACCTGCCGTTCCTGACAACCATTTCTTCGACACGGACTACAGCGTTTACGACAGAGACTCGTTCCTGCATTACGGAGAAGAGGATAGAGGGGAGACGACGGTGTCGTACGAGGAAATCGATGACTACGAACCCATCGGGCTCGAAAATATCCTTCACGGTATTTGCGAATGTCTGGAGCCTGTTCGTGAGACGGTACGCGCCCCGACGCCTCCGCCACCCGACCCTTTCGAGGGGTTTCTGGAAAGAATGAAACAGGAGGTAGACGAAGGCCGTCTCGAGATGCGTTTTCGAGTAGAGGGAATCGGTCCACCAGTCTCGACAAATCGCATTACAGCTGTGAGTCTGTGGCTGTCAGACTGTGCTCGTCGCCAGCAAGGGCTGGTTGGTCCGCGAAATATCAGACATTTTCTTTGCCCCGATCTCGAGGATTGCCAACACGATAACAACGTGGATTGAATGCGATCGATAGCTTGCACCGTGAGAAATATATCTGTCACACGATATATCCGTAGTTGAGTGGTCGCGATCAACTAAAAAGAGTATGTACATTAATCCGATAACGTTGAAATTCTTGTCTGGGTTCGTGACGTGTTATAGCGGACCGCGAAAGTAATTTGAACATTCACCAGGGGACATTTTTTTACGAATACGTTACGTGAAATTTTTTGAAATCTCATTCGCAACACGACGAGACAGTACTATCGTGATTATAATATTTGTAAAATGTACAACCGACACGGAGACGTGTATAGATGATGTTCGTTACAAACATATATTTGGTAAAAAAATTAGCTCCCATATAATAAATTTAATAAAAAGCCAGCATGCAGCATAGTCTTCGAGATACGTTTATGGAAATGACCGTATTAATTATTGTTACTTACTAATGTGGTAATAATTGAACGTTCAACTATTCGAATTTTCAGATTCGTTTCAAATTTGATCAATGTAATCGTCATAGTCGTGCTTCGTTACAGCGTTAACGAAATATTTGAAACCATTTTGCGTGATCCGCGTAATATGTTCGCCTTAATTTGATATCGTTGAAACTTTTGTCTGCCGATGTGACACAGAAAGAGACACGTGTTGCTGGGACGTCTCCGCTCGTCCAGAAACGCGATACACGTACATGCCCCTGTTCACGTTCGTGATCCGCGATTCGAACTAACGAATAATTTACGTTGCAGAGATCATTAAAATATATAGACGGACGAATCGTGCGCGGCCACCTATAAAACATCAACGTGTTTCGACCGTTTGCGTTTTATTTCGCGCCACGCAGAGATAATAACCGTCACGAAACGCACGCAACACACGCTGTTTGCCTTTTAACTCGGTGCATAAATTACGGCTGGTAACAGTCAAATTTATGCACGTTTCGGGCCATTTCAAATTCCTGTCGTGATTCGAAGTTTCGTCCAAATTCGTCGCATTACACGTTCGCTTCTGTAATTGGTTTTTCGGTGTTTTAAAAATTTTGTTGGCCGATTATCGCATGAATGAAAGCGATGAAACTGGGCCATAAATGGAAAACACTTTCTCATATAAGCGTAAGAAACAGCCTACTGTGCAATTGTATCCCGAACACTGTTGGAACTTCCGCTGGACAAAATTTGGAGAAAAAGTATTTCAAATATTACTCAAAAAAATTCTGATCGGAAGGAACCACTTTTCCTTCTGTTTCTCGGTATTTTCCCGAGTTTCTGGGCCTCCACCGTATTCTGCTTCGTTCGTTTTCTGGCTGTTGTTCCACGTGTACCATGCGGGTCCTTGGATTGTCATGCGTTTTCGCTCTCTGGCTCTCTTCCCACGTCTCTGTTCGCGCACTTCAGCCTATTATGTTCAGAAATCCCGTTCCATTTTCTGCTACTGAAATTAAGGACGGACTGTCGGAGAGATGGATTCCTTCTTACAATTATACTAGGATATTTCCAGGTAAAGGCAAATGTAAATTGTATATTTTCTATGTGCATCGTGGATGCATTCACTCACAGTAAAAGATCGGTTTCGTCTAATACGAACATCCAAACTGACCAAGTTCAATTTATTCCAATAAATTGAACGAGTGTACATGTTAGAACAATATTTCAGAACACGCACGATTCTCATTTTCAATTTTTGAAGATTTTGTCAGTAAAAAGTATTAAAAGTTCCTATGCACAGGATGAGTGGGTAAAAACCAATGGCGAAAATAGTTCGTTATCTACCGACTTTGTCAAGAAATGATGACACTCTTTAACTTTTACCTCAATAAATTTCATCTCGAACATATTTTGATACAGTCAATAGATAACGGGTTGTTTCTCTTTTTACTGACTCACCCTCTATAATTTATTGATTATGGACGTTCTCCATGTTATTATATTTCCTTCCCGCAGATACATTATGGTGCGGCATAGGTAATATAGCAAGTGGACCGAATCAGTTAGGACGATTAAAATCAACGGATGCATGTTGCCGAACTCACGATATGTGTCCCGATGTAATTGAGGCTTATAAGAAGAAACACGGATTGACTAATCCCGCCTTTTATTCCAGGTTTTTCCTTAACGTTCTTCTTATTCTCCGCGCTTTTGCCCGAATTCTTTCTAGCGCGAAGCCCACGGCATCGGTGCCAAACCAAAGGGAAGTTTCTTTTCTAGCGCGCTCGTGTTTCGAGGCAGACGTTCGAAATTAATTCTTCTTCCTCGGGGCGACGTTGTTTCTCGTACGGAGTGCACGATTTTCCTACAGTGTCGCACGATTTTCCTACAGTATCGCACAGAGCGAGACTGTAACGTTGGCTTTCAAGCCTGACGCGGACAACATCCAAGCCGTTAAACGTTCTACTTTTATCATAGAACTACGCGAATGTTAACGAGCGCGGTAATGCCAGGTTCGCGTGAACGCCTACGCGGAATTTTCGTCCGGAATCGACCAAATGTCCAGTATCCAGTGAGAAATTGCGCACGATTAGACATAACGCTATGCGCGAATTGTAGGCGTGCCTAGCCGGTTGCTAGCTCGTATGAATCATTCGCCGTGCATATCGAACGCTAGTCGAGTCAAGATGAGAAGCCGGAATTTGTATCTCGGCTACTTTTCCCTGCAAGCTGCTCCTTGAAACTCGGAAAATGAAACCCGTCATCGAGCAGTTGCGATCCCATGTAGAACTTTCATCTTGCAGACATACTATTCCATTTAAGTAAGTTTCTTACTTTTCTAACCGAACCGTGGGTGCCATAATACGTAGGATCATAAGGTTCCTACTACTATTTATTCGATAGATATGAAAATACATGAAAATTTTTAACGACTTTTAGAAATAGCTTATTCGTTATGAACTAGTTGGAGTTAAGTTTCGAATGTTCCTTCGACTGCGAGTGGTTAACTGTAAACGTTTCAATAAGCATCAGGAGACAAAGATAAAAGAAGATTTGGAAATTTGTTCAACAGGTTAAGTTGCGACTGCGACGAAAAGTTTCGTCAATGTCTTAAAAAATCGACAGACGAAATAAGTGCCAACTTAGTAGGATTCGGATATTTCACCCTATTAAGAACGCAATGCTTCCGAGTGGATTATCCTATCGTGGACTGCATAGAAAGATCCTGGTTGTAAGTGTAATTACCGTTCGACACTGACGAATGATTTTTTTCTCGTGAATTTCAGCGAAAAAAGAACTTTCCATTCTCTTGCACGATAATTTATGAAATAGTAGAATCAATGGAACAGAGAGAGTTACAATTTATACATTATCGATCTCATGCTGAATCGTGCAATTGCAAATCGAATATAAGGGCAATCGAATAACTTATAGATTTCATTATTAAAACTATTTTGTCATCGATCTCGTTACTGTCACACGAGCATTTATTATGCAGGGTGGTTGGTAACTGGCGGTACAAGCGGAAAGCGGATGATTCTACGCGAAAAAAGGAGTCGAAAATATAGAATAAAAATTTTTCGTTCGAGGCTTTGTTTTCGAGAAAATCGACTTTGAATTTTCGCTCGGTACGCGTGCACTTTATTACGTCTCGTTATAGTGGATCTCACTGTAGATCGTTGAATTAAAAAAAAAAATTAAAACAAAATTTTTATTCTATATTTTCGACTTCCTTTTTCGCGTATAATCACCCCCTTTCCGCTTGTATCGCCAGTTACCAACCACCCTGTAGATTAATATTAGATACATAGTATTAGTCCAATTGTGCAAGAGATTCTAGTTATGTAACGAGCACCTATGTACAAATTTAGAACAATATGAATGCTATACTGTCTAGTATACAGAATAATTTATACAGAAATGCTCAGAAATCGCCGCAAGAATACCCGATCGAGTATATTTCCTCGTACAGTCCAATGGACTGGATTATGAAATATACAAGAAACACGCTCGTATCGCGCAATCTTGCTGATCTGTCACAAATACAATACATATTCGTCTAGCAACGAAATAATCGCGCGGAAATACAAACTACAGTCACTTCAAAGAGAATCTTCTTACAATTGCAGTTTGAGACGTTGTAAGAAGTACCGGTTCGATACGAAAGGCCAGAAGAAGTATCAGTGGTTCGATTTACTTGAATACTGATCTTAAGCACGATCCACAAACGACATCGAGTATCTTCAAAAAAAGTCAATATTGTAGAACTCAACTTGTAACAAAGTTGCAAAATAGCAGCATAAGGATATAAATGTCACACCCTATCAAAATTACGATATGACGCAGATATTCACAGGCTAAATAAAACGTTGATACAACCTTCTAAATTCACAGGATAAATTTGTTCCTAATATCCCGTCAGATCGAGGATTTATTAAGACGATAGGAGAAATGCGCGGGAACTAATTTTGGCTCTTGACACATTCACGTCCGTTGGCAACAACGTGTTGTCCAGTGTTAGTGTTCGATGATACCACGTTAGTATCGTACGGAAGTCGATCTTTTGCCTAAACTATACGAACTTGGAATTTTTTCGCAAAAAAACACCGGTTACTGATTGAAGTCACTAATAAATTTACGCGGGCGGCGAAGCGCTTATATAAGCAGAAAGTGGGCGCAGAAGTGCTGCGCATGGATTTTCACGAGACTGTTTGGCTATTTTGGATATTCATAAAACTATTTTTAACAATATTATACAAGATATCTGTTTTGTTATCGATGTTTTATGATTATAGATGTTTTATTATCGAGCAATTCATATTCGCGCACGTTGAAGATATAAAGATGGATAATAAAAAATTATGAACACATTCGCTACTATCATCGATGGAAACAGATCGTATTTTGTTTCTTGTACTTATGTACAATATATTTAATAATACGATGTACTTTTTAGATCAGAGTACGAACATTTTGCTTAATATGACGCGGGAAACGAAAGTGCCAAAAAAACGAAAAAGAAAAAAGAAAGGAAAAACGAGAGGCTGTAGTTTATGCACGAGATTAATCGAAAATAATGTGCTATATATTGTATGTGTATAACCAAAAGATAATAACCATCACGAACCGCACGTAACACACGTTGCTTTAACTTGTAGATAAATTTATGCACGTTTCGTGCCATTCCACATTCCTGTCGTGATTCGATCATTCATTTCAAATTTGTTCCATCGCATGTCCGCTTTCGTACTTACTTCTCCACGTTTACAAATTTTATTGGCAAATTATCGCATCCACCGAACGTAATTTTCACGATCAGTGGCGCTGAAACTGGGTCGTAAATGGGAAATATTTCCTTATATAAGCCTAAGCAATAGCCAAACGTGCACTTGTACTCTGTTCATCGTCGGAAGGAACAGCATTTAGCTCTGCTTTACGGCATTTTCCGAGTCTTTGGACCTTCATCTTCTTTATTTTCGCCTCTTTTTCCGCCTGCCGTTCAACGTGTACCGTGCGGACCCTGGAATTGTCGTGCGTTCTCGCTCTCTGGCTCTCCTTCCACTTCTCTCTTCGCACACATCAGCGTGTTATGTTCAAAGATTTGCTGACAATGAAATGATAAAACCATCAGAGAGGATAATATTCCTACGTACGAAGCAAATTTGGACTTTGGAAGTGTATCGCGGAGTTTGCATGCACCGTGAAAGATCATTTTCGTCCAAGACGGTCAGCCAAATGACCGAACGAACAAAGTAAAGCCAGTAAAGTACATTTACATACATTTGATAAATTCGGTGGATCATCCTGACGTATTCGTGTTCGTTAGAGCAATGTTCTATCGGAACACGCATTCGCTGTAATCGTGTCCCGATAGAAGAAGAACAGCGTCACATGGCTACGATAGTTTTCATCGTTTCCGACTCTTGGAAATTTCGTGAAGGAAGCTATTCGTTATTCGCGTTCTTATATTTCCTTCCGCCAGGAACATTATATCGCGGATGTGGCAATAAATCAACCTAGAAAACGGGGATGTAAGGGATCTAATCGTGGCACTAAACGCAGATTATATAATTCTACCGATTGTACCAGCTTCTTCCCAACTTTGTTCTTCGTCCTCTACGCTTTTCTCAAACTTCTTTTTACCGCGATGCTCGCGGCATCGGTGCTGAATCAGAGAGACGTTTCTTTCCTTGCGCGAACGCATCTTCAGGCAACCGCTTTGAGTTAGTTGTTCTTCCTCGGGATAGCGGAGCGATGGTTTTTCTCGCAAGGAATGCACGATTTTCCCGGAGTAGATGACAGAGGAAGACTGTAACGTCGCTTTGCATATCATACGCAACCGACGTCCGCGTCGTTCAACGATTCAACTTTTGTCACAGAAGCAGGCGAATGTTAACGATCGCGGTAATACCGAGTTCGCGTGAACGCCCACGCGGAATTTTTGCCCGGAATCGACCGAATGTCCAGTATTGAATGAGAAATTAAGCGTTTAGGCGTAACGCTGCGCGCGATTTGTAGGCGTGCCTAGTCGGATGCCACCTCGCGTGAATCATTCGCTGTGAACGTCGTACTCTGGCAAAGTCAGAATCAGAAACTCTTTGTTGCCCGTTGAATTAGTACAGCGATCAGTTTCTTGCGAGATTCTTCCAGGGAAATGGGAAATCGTACTCTGTCTCGGGCAACCCTTTGCAATCTTACGCATAGAACTGCTATGGACGATCCATTTCATTTGTTTCCTTCTTTTCAATTTCGACGTACAAAGCGTTTCTTTAGGAATATGATACACAGCAGTACGAAATGTCTATTATTTATGCTGAAGATATCGAGATACATTAAAGTTTTAAACAACTTTTATTCGACTGTCAACTAATTGGAATTAAATTTTAAATGTCCCTTCGAATGCAAGTGGTTAATCGCGGACGTTTCAATAGCAACGCGGAACGATGGGGAGTTGATATAGAAAGATAAGTAAATGGAAAATAGGATTGGACATTTGTACAGCGGGTTAAGTTGCGATTGTGACGAAGAGTTTCGCCGTTGTCTTCGCAATTCGCGGGAAACAATTAGTGTCGCGCTAGCAGGAGAAACGTATTTCACTTTCGTGTTAACGAAATGCTTCCGACTGGATTATCCTATCGCGCTGTGTAAAACCAGATCCTTGATGCAAGTGTAATTATCGTTCGATGCAGACGAACGATCTTTTCTTGTGTTCTCATAGACGGCACGAAAGGTTAGCGAATAGAGCGCAATACATGAGAAAATAACTGTTTATTCTCTTCTACAATAATTTATCAAATAGTAAAATCGGTGAATTAAAACGTTACAATTTCTATGTCGCTGATTTATCCTTGGGAATTTTACAATTTCAAATAAAACATGAAAATAACGTATGAATTGTAGAATTAATTTCTAAAGTTTCATTTGCCTTATCATCAAACTTGATAATCAACTTGTCACAGAAGAATTTATTACGCGTGACGATCTGTCGCGAGTATTCGTCTATCAAAGAAATAATCGCGCAGGAATTTCCACTCGAGTAATTTTAACGAGAACTCTCTTGCAATGATCTCTTGCAACTTTAGAGGGCAGCTTCTTACGATTACAGTTACTTCGAAAAAGTACCAGTGGTCCGATTCATCCGAATACGAATCATAAGGACGATATCGAGTATCTCGGAAAGGATCGGTATATTACCTCAAACTTGTAATAAAGGCGCAAAACAGTTGCATAAAAATAAATGTCGCACCCTATCGGACGTACGACATGGCGGAAGCGTTGACGAGCGAGATAAACGAGTTTCTTTCGCGCGCGTAGCTCTCGTACGGAGGGGAAGAATGGTAAAAAAAAAGAAGGAAATTACATGGAAACGGGAGAAGCACACGGCAACGAGCGAGTAGCGCAAAAGATAAGCGAGCAGAGTTGAATTGGTCTCGGCTTTCCGCGCGTTTTCCTCCATTTTACGCGAGAGGGTGTGCGGGCACCTGGCGCTTAGTGGAGGATTTCCCCGGAAATTTATGTCCGGATCGAGCGCAGCCGCGCCACGCCACGAGCCACGCCACGCCTCGCCCCGCCGATTTACAATTTCTCCCGCTTACCTGTGTGAACTTTCGAACGCGGATAAGTACGCGAACTTTGTTTCAGCGAAGGAAATATTCTCGAACTACGCTTTATCGAGACTGTCCCGTGTCTCTCGACCAGTCCGGCGAAACCAATTTTTTCGATTTATGGAAGAAACGGAGTGCTGCCTCGAGCGGCTCGATACTGTAATGCCATACTGGCTATACTATATTAGGCAAATGACGTGGTATCTGGGAAATCGTTGATATTTCTACACGACTTTCCACTCGAACTTTTATCTGGCAAATCTTTATCGGAGCATCTCGGCTCGGAACGACAGATTCCCTGGTGTAATAAGCTGGACAGCGTCGGTGCTTGCGAGACCGAATCGAACGATGTTTCGAGCTGCTGGACTCGCGGGCACAAAGTGCTTCACCGTGTTCGTTTCTATGCAGCTTATAAATTCGCAGAATTACTCGCTTTTAATATAAACATGCCGCTATATCGAGGATTTATTAAGGCGCGAAGGAAAATGCGCGGATTTTATGAAACTAATTTAGCCTCTTAATATAAGCTGAACGCGTATGCAGAAGCGTTGCACATGGATTTTGACGAGACTGTTTGGCTACGTAGGTCGTACACGGGCGAATATCTGTTCGAAGTACGTTGAAATATTTGGAGCTCGGACGAAAAAACATGATAAATGTACATTTGAAGATCACGCCGGGGAATATACGAAATTAATTTTCATTCGTTACAAGATAAACGTGCATGGGGAAAATGTTGCACACGAAGTTTGATCGGACGTTTTATCGAGATTGCATAATAAAGAATATCTATTTGATGTAACTGACAAAGATCACGATAAATTTATATTCGAAGACCATGTAGGATAAATACGTATAGTTGACTTTCCATCTACTGTGTCGTTTGGTGGCTAAAGAGAAGTATTTTAACACGAAATGATCGAAGAAGAGAATAATCTGATAGATTCGAAGATACAAGACCTTTGAAAATTGGCGATAAATAAATGACGCTTTGTGAGAAACGAGTGATATTAATTTACTCGTTCAACTTGATTAATATTCGACTGTACAATTAATCGTATTAATATTTTTGAAATGTTCAAGAAAATGATCGAAACGCGTATTCTATCACAAAATAGACCTGCCGTGTGCAAACATACATTATATTATAAAGTTTCCCAGAAAACCTACGATAAGATAAAGTATTTTGAAGAATATAATAAAAAATATCTATAGTTATTTTATTGACGAGTAACATACATTCGTGTACTTTAAAGATACAAATCGATAATAAAAAGTTAATATCGCATAAAATTACCAACATATTCGCCACTATAATGGATGCGAATGAATCATATTTTGTTCTTTATACTTGCGCGCGATATATTAAATAACGCAATATACCTTTCGGATTAGATTACGAATATTCAGGAGCGAATGTGTTAAAAGATTAAAAAGTTGGAAAATCGTAGTTTAGACACGAGTTTTAATCGAAAATAATGACCTATATATTCTATACGTATAACGGAAAGATAATGACTATCACGAAACGCACGCAACATATGCTGTTTACCTTTTAACTTCGTGCATAAATTACGTCTGGTAGCAATTAAATTTATGCACGTTTCGGACCATTTGAAATTCCTGTCGTGATTCCAGCATTTGTCCAAATTCGATGCGTTACACGTTCGCTTCCGTACTCGCTTTCCGGCATTTTAAAATTTTGTTGGTCGATTATCGCGTCGTCGAAACATAATTTCCACGATTAGAAGCAATGAAACTAGGTCGTAAATAGAGGGTGCGCCCTCATATAAGTCTAAGGAATAGGCAAATGCCCGCTTGTACCCTGACCACCATCGCAAGAAATCGCTCTTCGTCCTGCTCCTCGGCACTCTCCCGAGCCGATTTAGGTCTCCACCTTCTTGATCTTTGATTCTTTTCTGCGCCTGCTGCTCCACGCGTACCATGCGGACTCTGGAGTTGTCGGTTTTCACTGTCTGGCTTTGCCTGCACGTCTCTGTCCACGCATTTCAGCATATTACGGTCAGAGACGGCTATCCACTTGCTGACGGTGAAATGATAGAAGTATCGGACAGGATAATATTCCCAGGTAAAGGCAAATTTGGACTTTACGCTTTGAACATGCGTTTTTCGTCTACGTTCCGGCATTTCATCCACAGTGAAACATCATTTTCGTCCAAGACCGAAACCGACGAACGAACGGAGTAAAGCCAGCGGCTACGTACTTTTAACGAATCGAATCGTCTGACGTATCATGTGACGGATCATTCTGACGTGCTCGTATTCGTTAGCAGAAAATCCCGTGAGAACGCGCATTCATTGTAACCATGTCCTGATAGATGAACGACGTCACATCGCTATTGTAGTTTTCCTTATTTTCAATTCTGCGGAATTTCGCGAAGAAAAATGTCCTATATATAAGCTTGTATTTCCTTCCACCAGGAACATTATGGTGCGGAAACGGTAACATAGCAAATGGAACGAACGAATTAGGGTCATGGAAGCAAACGGACGCATGCTGCCGAACTCACGATATGTGTCCCGATCTAATCGAGGCTCACGGCTCTCAACACGGATTAACTAATTCCGCTGATTATACGAGGTTTTTTTTTCAACTTTCTTCTTATTCTTCGCGCTTTTCCCGCAGTTCTTTTTACCGCGAAGCCCGCGGCATCGGTGCTGAACCAGAGAGATGTTTCTTTTCTGGCGAGGTCGCGTCTTGAGGCGGTCGTTTTTAAATTAGTTCTTCCTCGAAGCGATGCCCTTTCTCGTGCACATTTTCCCCGGATAAAGTCTCGAATATCAGTTTTCCAACTAGAAGGCAACCAACGTTCGGGTCGATTCAACGTTTATCGTAAAACCAGCCGAGAGTGTTAACGATCGCGGTAATATCGGATTCGAGTGAACGCCCACTCGATATTTTTGTCCGGAATCGACCAAATGTCCAGCATTCAATGAGAAATTGCGCGCGATTAGGCGTAACGTTGCGCGCGACTTGTAGGCGTGCCGAGTCAGACTCTACAATCGCGTGAATCACTCGCTGTGAATATCGAACTCTAGTCGAGTCAGTAGCAGAAGTTGTTGCCCGTCGAATTCGTACAACGAACAATTGCTCGTGAGATACTGCTGGGAAAATGGGAAATTACACTCTTTTGCCATCTTACGTAGAGCTGCTACCGACGTTCAATTTTATTCGATTTTTTTCCAGCTTTAATATACAGGGTGTTTCTTATTTTCCTAGTCAAACCGTAGGAGCATACTACACAGGAGTATAAATTATTGGCTATTATTTATTCTAAAACTAGAAAAATACGTTTAAACTTTAACGAACTCGTGAAGATAACTTGTGGTGTATGAACATGTTGAAACTAAATTTCAAACGTTGCTTCCACTACGAACGATTGATCGTACACGTTTCGAGAAACAAAGAGCAACGAGAGTGAAACGTTGATGCGTTAGAACGATGAGAAAATGCAAGATCGGATTTGAAATTTCTTCAACAGGTTAAGCTGCGAGTGCGACGAAGCGTTCCGCCATTGTCTTCACAATTCTGGGGACACTATTAGTGCGGCGCTTGTAGGAAGAACTTATTTCACCATCTTAGGAACGCAGTGCTTCCGATTGGATTATCCTATCGTGAAATGCAAAGTCAAATCCACCATGTAAGTGTAATTACTGGTCGACGCAAACGAATCATTTTTTCCCGTGAGTTGTCTCAAAGGGCAGTCAAAGTTAGCGAACAAAGAGCAGAGCATGGAAAAATAACTTTTTATTCTCGTGCGCAATAATTCATCAAATGGTGGATGAAAAAAATATGCCAATGAAAAAGTTACAATTTCCATGTTATCGATTTGCTTTTTGGAATTTTACAATTTCAAATGAAACAGGGTAATGGAGCAACTTGTGATTTGTAGAATTAATTTCTAAAATTTCATTCGCTTCATCGTGAAACTTGATCACTGAACTTGTCACAGAAGAATTTATTACGCGTGACACAGCCTCGCGGATCTGTCACGAGTATTCGTCTATGAAAGAAATAATCGCGCAGAAATTTCGACCCAAGTAATTTTAACGAAAACTCTCTTGCAATGATCTCTTCCAATTTTAAAGAGGATCTTCTTACAATTACAGCTTAAGACGTTGTAAGGAGTACGAGTTGGATACAAATGCTCCGATGAGGTACCAGTGGTTCGACGTACTTGAGTACTAAGGAAAATGCAACAGACCTTAAGAACGACATCGAATATCTTCGAAATTATTATATTGTAACGATATTTTACCTAAACTTGTAATAAAGTTGCAAATTGGCCGCATAAAAATAAATATCCTAGCCTATCAAACTTACGACATGGTGAAAAAGTTGAATTCCTTTTACGCGCGTAGCTCTCGTACGGAGGAAAAGAGTTGTAAAAAAAGAATGAAAATTACATCGAAACAGGGGAAGAACGACGAAGCGAGATGCGATATATTTAATAATAATGCGCTATATTTTCAAAGTTAAACCATGAATGTTTCAATTCAATTTCAACGTATATGATCCCGGTAGCGAACGTATGAAAAAACGTAAGAATAAAAAGCAGAAGAACGTAGTTTAGACACGAGTTTAATTAGAAATAGTGACCTGTATGTAGCTATATATAACTTGAACCTTCCATACACGAAGTGCTTGGCAAAGTTTGCAAGTGCTCGATCGAGTGGTTGTCTTTCGATCTCTGAACCAATGTAGCTCTTCTCGCGGCATATTTTCTCTCCGTCAAACGTTTATCCGCGGTCGTGTTAACCGCAAGCCTGTCTCCATTCCTAACTCTTATCCATTCGTCGTTACCAATTTAAATTATTGTTTGGTTTCAGACGTGGCTGCCTCGGTGGAGGTTCACTTCGAGAACAAGGATGGGGGATTTTTCTTGAAGCACATACCGAGGCAATACTATCCTGTCCGAGGGGATTCTATCTCGTCGATATCTCCATCGACGGGCACATTATCTAACGGGGTTCTGTCTCCACCGCCAGGCTCCGTACTCTCGAGAGACAAATTCACGGTGTTTCAGACGAGCGAGCCGGTGTCCGTTCGGGCGACCTATGGGCCATTTAGCACGAAACAGACCGTACCGGCTCGC